TAAAAGGTGAATGCCATTCTCATTGAAGGAGAAGAAGGGCATTTCAGGGATGTGGAGGTTCAACCTTCCTATTCCCCATCCAGCCTCCCCCTTCCGCCATGATTTTTCTTTCTTTTTTTCTTTTTCTTTTTTTCAGTACCCAGCATTGATCTTACAGATAATCACAGATTGTAGCAATGTAACCCTGAGAATTCAGCTTAGTTTGTCTGCTTGTGACTGTCATCACACACTCTCTTTTTTTCAGTTTGCTTGGATGTGGTATAGAGTTTATCACTGATTAAAAAATTAAAATCAGGTCTGCAATTGCAGAAAACATTGAATAAATTTATATCCAAGAAGATAAGTATCCCTATTATGAAATCTCCTCACATCTGTTAACTCTTACTGAATAGTGGGTGACCTCAGTATAGTGAGTTACAATATGATAAACAACTTATATTGAATATTATAGGCATATTATCAAGGAAATGTATAAAAACTTTATCTACAAATATACCAGGGATTACCCAGTACCATCTCAGAGTCTATTAAACTAATACAGTAGAAAAATGTATTTTACCATGACCTAAAAAATTTAAAACATGGTCCTTAGATCTGCTTAAAAAAAAAAAAAAAAAAAAGCACTGATTAGGAATCAAAAGATCTGATATCTATTTTGACCCAACTACCAGGAAACCTTGGGCAAATCCATCCTGTCTGTGAACCTCTCTCGTCCATCTCGCATCACTGACAAAAGGTAAGAAGATCCTGCACTTAAGGTAAAACGGCAGCCTCTTGCCCTGGTGGAGCCTACTTCATTCCTGGGCTAGTTGCCCCATGCACATCCAGCCCAGCAATTAGGTGTGTGTCCACTGAGAGTTTGTTGTGATTGTTGCCATGGTCCTTGTAACTACTTAATGCAATACAAAATTTGTAAATTGATGAAATGAAAATATAAAAGGGCAGTTTTATGCCTCTGACAAATAAGTTAAAAGCTATGGGGACTTGGTTAAGGTGACTGTTACTAACGAAACATACAGATGTATTAAATGTATAAGACTGGACACAGCATTTAGAAGGTTTCACTTCACAGGCAGTTTGGACTCTATCAATATGAGGCCATTTTAAACAAAACTAAAGACAGGAAGTCTTTGTATTTACAGGGATGGGTTGAATTTGGAATGCGAATTTGCTTGAGGGCCAGCTTGTGGTACATTTTCATAGGTACTTATTTTTTAAGTTTTTACTTCCCTCTGCTTTGCTCATTCCCTCTTATGGGTGTGGAGTGGCACTGCTTCATATTCTTCTTATGCCAACGGTACTGTTCTTTCAGGTCCCACCTGGTAAATTTGAGGCCTCTGACTCCCAAGTTTCGCAGGCGCAAAGATTTTATATTTGTCTTCTTGCCTAAAAAGCCTGTCAAAACAGCATTTCAATATTTTCCAATCAGGGAAAAATTTCAGGGCAAGAGTCGCTTCCTTCCTATGCTTACTTCTCTAGGGCCCTACTTTCCCTTAGAGCTTGGCCTGCTAATCTCTCTTTACTTTTTCAGCTCTTTGATGATACTTAAATTATATTCCAACAAAACACTTTGTTTTCAGAAGGAGGGTTTTTCTTTACAACCTGGCCCACATCACACGCTATAGACTTTCCACAAGCCACTTATTTATGATTCTTGCTGAAAACCAAACTGGCTTTTGAAATGGACACGCCCCTCTGGAAGAGGTTGGTACCGGGTAAGGCTTAGATTGCCATAACAAACTGCTCCTAAAGTAAAACTAAAGTCATGGGGCTCCTTTGCACTACCTGATTCTGCCACCAACATGCTAAAAGACCTTATAAATTTTAGGTGCCCAAACTGTTGGTAGGCAAGGATTTTATTTCACGTCTATTTCGTGATTCTTTTTCTTACCTTGTCAGTATTTTGAGAAAGCTATACTTATATGTATCATCTAATACAGTACTTTCCAGTAAAACTTCATATGATGACAGAAATGTCTATGTGGGACTATTATACACTGGATATGTAGCCAGTGGGATTGAGAAACTGAATTTTTAAGTAATTTTGTTCTAATTAATTTAAATAGCTGCATGTGGCAAGTGCCTTGCCATATTGGGCAGTGCAGATTCTCAAACTTCTGTCTGATACTTCAGGACAAATATTAGTTACATAAGAAGGCTTCATAAAAATACTTTTGTAACCATGGTAGTACTCCAAACACTAGAGACAATCCTACTTATTTGTTTTTGGTTTTTGTTGTGATACTCTGATAAGGGCATACATAGAGTGAGGGCCACAAAAGGTCAAGAAATTTTGCCTTTTTGAGATTACAGGATGGATCATTTATTAATCTATTGATCCCTTAACAGCTATCACCTGAACATCTAGCACATCCCAGGCACTTGGCATTGGAACTCAGGAGGAAAGCAAAAACAAGGGTCCTGCTATTGTGAAGTGTGCAGTCTAGTTGGGGAAACACACAGGAAACATACAATATATACAATTAGTATACAATTTTATATTAAACAATTTTAAATCAATGAAGATCTCCATACTTTCTTTTCCTGGATATTTTTAATGTGGGAAAGCGTCTAAGTCCAAGGTTCTCAAAAGCTTACTAAAGGCTTAGTAATCAACTCTTGGGCAATTATGTCACTCTAACAATATCTCACTTCAACAAGGCAGATAAACTGTGGGTGTTTGTATTAGCTAAGTAAAGAGTTTCTGTTTGTTTTGTAGTTTACTGTTTGGCCCATTCAGTTGGGAGACCAAACAACATATAAGGTTAATGGAAAAAACTTTTCTCCGAAGTAACAGATTTATCAAATTATTGATATTTTTGCCCATGTAAAGGAGCTTACAAACAATCTAGACCAACCCCTCATTTTACAAATGAGTAAAGAAGCCTAAAAAACAAATTTATTGGACATGAATATGCACTTGCTGTCCTAGCCCCAGGTTTTAAGAATCCTTCACCAGTGTTCTAGCGACCATATCACACCAACTTCAAAGTAATCCAAATTGTTCTGATTTCTCAAAGTTCCTAGTCAATTCATTTTCTGGAATCAATTAATTTGAGATTTTAATGTTTTCATGATAACAAAAATTTAGTACAAATTCATGAACTTGACATTCAGATCTCACATGTCTCACCATACATCCTTCCAAATCCCAGGGTCTACACACATTGTTTTTCCAACTTTGAGCTCCCACCAGAATGCACTTCCTCCTATTCCTGCTTACTTACCCTCAATGTCTACTGAAAGACTACATCTTGCATGAGAATTGTCCTCAAACCTAACCAGAAGAGGACAATAGCTCTTTGTATTTCTCCTGATGATTTTGGACTCTGCCTTATACTGCAGTAGGAATGACTGCACTGGGTTTAAGAAACTTGGGAACCGGTGCCACATAGTTCTTACTTTTTTAGCTCTTGTCCCTCCTTGCAATCAATAAATATTTAAACTAAAATAAACGTCCATGGAGGCTAAAATTTTCCATAAGGTTTTTCTTGAGGCAGTTGCCAAGTGTTTGAAAAGCCAGGATAGGGAGACAGACATGAGTGGGATGAAAAAGACTCAGATTGCTTTATAGAGAGTCTTGGTGTCAGGACATTTTGTCTTTTCTGGGTGATTTTTCTTTTATTTTTAAAATTCCTAATCTATTCAATGTAATCGGCCCAGATACTATATATATATTTTACTCATAGTGTAAAAACCTACAGAGATAAATTTAAGAGCTTTAGGAAAGATTAGAGAAAACAAGAAAGGTCATATAAATACTTGCCTGGATGCATTTTGTTGCAATTTAACTTCTCCTTCAATTTTCATAAATAAATGTACCGATAAAAAAAGATCAGAAACATAAAAATCCACTTTATCATTTACCAAAGTAAAAAACAACAAAGGAATTTCACCAATTGGCAATCCTCTGCAAAGCTCTTAAGCAAGGCCCAAATTTCATTGAAAACTTTCCTCAAGACCACTGTAATCTGACCACACCCATATTTTAATACTGCTTCTGATAAGTTGTTATGGTTCTACATTTTCTCTACTTTGCTGTAAACCTCTCAAGCTCTTCCTATGAACACTGTGTTAGGTGGCTGAACCTGGTGAATGATTATCAATGAAAACCGCATAAAGTGTTGTGGAATGGAGATGAAAAAAAAAATATCAATTGTGTTCTCCTAAAAGAAATGATGACAGTAGGGAAGGAAAAAAGGTCATGAGTAAAGCCCAGCAAAAGCACAAAGGTACAGAGTCAGCATCCTTGGCGGGAGAAGCCGGCGGCCTGGCTCCAGAGCCCTCCGGGTTCAGCTGCGAGGAGAAGGGCACGAATAGCTGCTCCTGCATAAGAGTGTGCGAGAGTGTGCGTGTGTCAGCGCACGAATCTCTCACACCGCCCGCAGGGTCTGGGCACTCGTCACAACCCTTGACCGCCTGGTCAGCAAACAACAGCTGATCTGGCACCCTCCCACTCCTAGACTGTCCACGCCTACAAACAGCCGCTAATTTCGGGAAGGCCGGAAGCCCTTTTGCCCCGGCTCGCGGGTCTACTAACTAGGCCGGTCAGCACCGGAAGCTCTTCTGCCCCGATCTTTGGGCGCGTCAGCGCCGGCCGCACAGGCGCAGTTGAGCTCAGGTCGAGTTGTGGGAGGGGAAAAGGAAGAGGTGGAGGGGGGCGGGGCCGTCCCAGAAGATGGCGGAGGCGGGGGTGAGTTGGGGTCCACCTGCGAAGCGCCAGTGCCTCGGTGCTGAGGAAAGTGGTCTGAGGAAGTGGGTGGCCTTCGGGAAGAGGAAGTGCTGGTGATTTTGCATCCTAGGAACCCTGCTGGCAAGTGCGGGAGCCAGGACTGCGGATGGGGCCTGAAGGGCGAGGGGTTCCGCTCACCTGAAGAAGGGTCGGCGAGGTCCGGACCGGGACGGCGGGGTCGGGGAGAGGTCATCTGAGAGGCCGAGGCTCCCCCGACAGTGGGAGAGGGTTCGAGAGGAAAGAAGGCTGGAGGACGGCGGGATAGGCGACCCTGGAGGTCTGATGGGGGTGGAGGTCGGCGAGCTGTCCAGCATAGAGCTGTCAGGACTTGGGAGGCTGGTAACCGGGGAGACTCAGGCTCGGGAGGGTGGTGGATCCCCAAAGGTGGCTATGGCAGTGAGTTTAGAATCCACAGACAGCTGTGTTGGTTTGGGTTGAGGAGTGGGACTGTGGCATTGGGTTGGAATTGGAAACCCTGGGAGGTGGTGTGCGGGTATGCCCGAGAACTCTTGTCAAGACGTAGAAGTCGTTGGTGAGAACTATCACCCTGGGGTTTAAGAGCTGGTCCGTGGCGATCGGCAATGCGGAAAAGGAACAGTAAAAGAGTGTGCATGACGGGGGGCAGGGAGGTGGTGCTAAAAAGGTGACCAGGACCCATGCCCAGCTAGCGTGGGAGGAAAAGTTATTGAAGTGTGGTCTTAGCCAGGTAGTCCGGGAAAATGTACCTTGAAGAGCTTACTGTGTTGCAGGCTGGGTGCAGAAATGCGGTAGAAAGGAATGGAGGGACCTGGCGGCTGTGCTGGCCGGGATGCGGGTTGCAGTGCCGCCGAGGATTGCAGGGAAGAGAGTCCCCAGGCCCGGGTGCAGGGGGAGTGGAGGCAGCCGGGCAGTGGCTAGACCGGGCGCTCCAACGTTTGGGTTTGGCCTTGATAGCGAACCACTTTGTGAAAATGAATGAAGAGAATGCGGCTGCTAATAGGGCTCCCACAGAAGAAAACAATTAGCCAGGTGTTCTTTCCAGTTCCACCTTCATTCTTTCTCTGGACATGTTGTGCTGTAGTGTGCTTTGAGTTCCCAGTAGATATCTGATACGAAGTGACCAAGCTGTGCATCGTGTACATTTGGGGAACAGGTTGGTTCTTTTTAAACGGACAACTGTTGCTTTTCCATATGGTGGGCTGAAAAGGACAGGATAAAAGGTAATTCAGTAGTTTAAAGACAGCTTGTTTTTATTGTTCTTAGAACATTATTCGACAACCTTTTTAGAGCCCGAGATTTGACATTTAAAAGCAGTAATGGGATGTGAATGCTGCTTGCTTAATAGTTTCTGTGTTCGGGTTTTGATGTTGAGAGGAAAGGTGAGTTTCAGTGACTTCAAGGCAAATGTGTTTCTTCCTGGAAATCTTTAGCTTATGACCCACATGTGTGTGCTTATATGTAAGGAGGGTTAAACTTTTTCATTGATTTAAGTGTGTTTTTCCTAATGCTAATGCTTATTCTGTGTTGAGAATGCATTTGTAATTAAGAGAGCAGATGAATAAAAAAGATGAGAGGTAGTAACTTAGTTTTATTATTTATTAGCCTATGTGACCTAAGCACCTGAAGGGACAGGTTCATTGGAGGCAGCAAATATACTGCCTCCTTGGAAGATGAATGGCCTTGTGTGGTTTTAGGGGTTGTTGTAATTGTGAGAATGCAAATGGTTCTTAAGCTCACTAGGAGATTTTGTTTGTGGGTGTGTTTTCAGTGGCCTGTTGCCCGAAATTGTTTCAGTAGCAAATATCAGCTTTGATCTTCATTCACAAAGCCCAGGATCACTTCTAACCCTCTTTTATTCATCTAGAATAATATTAATCCACTAACAGGTAGTCATGTGTCTTTTCAGTTTTGATGATTTGTTATTTATCTATCCAAACTATTTGCATCGTGTTGTTCAAGGTAGAATTTTTCATGTCCAGTGGGAGTTTTTTCTTTGTCAGTTATTGAAATAAAAAGTTTATTTTGGTATTAACAGTAGTTTATCAACGTAACTCTAAAAAGTGTTTCTTACGTGGCACTTAACTGTTTTTGTACGATGTTTGTAGGTGGAGGACATGGAGTGAAATGGGAAGTGCTCTGGACATGGAGTCAGAGTGCTTGGGGCCAGTACTAGTGCTTTTTGGTAATAGTCTTAGGATCTCAGAAAGTTACTTAGCCTATGTTATTTTATAAAATGGAGATATCTTGCCTATTTACCAAGGTTATTATTGTTGAGGATCTGTTGAGTTATTATTCTCTAAAGGGTACTTTTGTACCAGAGACTTTTTGCCTGGTCAGCAAATTATTTCTTGAGTGACCTAAATTTTTCAAATATAGATTACTTTTTAATTTTGGAGAATCAAATTTATCATTGATATAAGAGTAATATTTAAAGGTGTAGGTACTCTTTGTTTTAAGAAAATAATTTCAACACATAATCAGAAAACCAAACTTTAAAACAAACAAATTAGGGAATACTTATTACATGAGCTTTCACTTTAAAACAACTATTCCTCTATGTGTGGTTAATATTATAAACAACATTCCTTTTTAGTAATTTAAGTGTTCCACAGTAGGGAATGAATGGTCTAGTGGAATTTCTTATTTCTTTGAAGAGTCTGGCTATTTCCAGGAGTTCAATTTACATGTTTATGGTAGCAAGATCCAGTGGAACAGTCTTGATCTTGTCACTTTACTTGCCCACATTGGGTGTCATTTGCTTCTCCAGTAAAATGAGAGAAAAGTTAGATCACTGCCTCTTAACTTTTTTTGGTTCATGGACATTTTGAGTACTTGATATAAGTTGTGGAACTTTCTTTCTAGAAAATACACATATGCACAACTTTTCTCCTCCTCCTCCTCCTCCTCCTCCTCCTCCCTCCTCCTCCTCCTCCTCCTCCTCCTCCTCCTCCTCCTCCTCCTCCTCCTCCTCCTCCTCCTCCTCCTTGTCCTCTTTCCTCCTCCTCCTTCCTCCTTTCTCCTTCCTCCTTCCTCCTCCTCCGTCTTTTTGCATTAGGCTCACATATCCCTTGCAAGAGATGATCTCCAATTTCCCTTTCATTTCTTAAATTTTAGGATATTGTGACTCTAAAGCACTTTAACTTTTATTTTTGCCTATAGTAATTACGTACTATTGTATTATTTTGTAGTCACAAAGTTAGATTTTTGGACTTGTAAAAATTAGCTTAAAAAACTCACTCAAATAAACATCAAACAAATGTCATGTTATTTTTAAAGAAAACTTTTGGGGTGAAATAGGAAGCTATAAACCAGCACTACAGGAAAAGTTGAATAAACAGCTGTGGTAGAATAACACAAACCGTTTAGAAAGTCGAGGCAGCCTTGAAATAGAATGAGGAAAGAGTCTCCAGCAATCAGTGGCTCTCAGCAGAGAGCATTGCCTTTCTTGGGGCATATGGAAATGTATAGGGACATTTTTAATTGTCTCAAATTGGGGAGAGAGCATATAGTGGTGTTTAGTGGGCATGAGCCAGGGAAGTGTTTTTGCAGTGCTTAGGTCAGGTCCACACAGCAAGGAATTGTCCAGCCCCAAATGCCTAAACTCTTTGACAACCCCTGGTGAGTGATTGTGAGATGGGGCCTATCACAACTGAAATTTGTGTTAAAACTAGTTATTTTGCTCTCTTAAAAACATTATTTATTGTACATAAAATATTCTTTGCCATTCATTCCCTTTTGGAAAAAAATGCACGAACATAAAATGATTTACTAGAGCAGTTTGTATTACTAAAAATATATGTACTGTTCAACCTTGAACAACATGGGTTTGAACTGCATGGGCCCACTTACATGCCGATTTCCCTCCAACCCCCCAATAAATACAATTGGCCCTTGGTACTTCTGCTTTTGTATCCATGAATTCAGCCTGCCGTGAATTTCCAATCCGTGGTTGGGAATCCACAGATGTGGGGACGAGCTGTATGCATTGTTCTATGCTGTTTTGTATCAGGAGCTTGAACACCTGTGGATTTTGGTATCTGTGGGCAGCGCTCGAAGATACTGAGAGCCAATTTAGTTAAGTTTTCAGGGCAGGGGCAGAAATTACAGATTTTCAACTGCAAGGGCATCAGCACCCTTTACCCCCTCTGTCCCCCATTGTTCAAGAATCCACTGAATATTCTTTGTCCTCTAGTAGCTGTTTTAACAGCAAAAGTGGGGCTTTGCTGTGTCTACTGGAAGTTTATGGAGTGAAGAGTCAGCTGTTGGTAGTGCAGTATGTTAAGTTGGCAACATGATTTTTTTAAAAAACATTTGTTTTACTCTTCGATCTAGTACATTTAAATAAAATTTCAAGGTGTTTGTACACTTATTCTCCTGGTCTTTGTATTATTATATAGTCTCCCACTTATGTTGGCATTGGTACCTTGAGAATATATTATCGTTGAGATTGTTTTCTAATGTTTACCTGTGAGCAGCAGCTTGAGTTTGTCAAAGAAAGAATTCAGAGCCAAGAGCTCTAGCATAGGAAGTTTATTTAGAAAGTCCCAGAGGTAGAAGAAGTGAGCTAGCTGGGTTGTACGGACTCAGGAAACAACTTATAGAGGCAAAAGAAAGGCCTTGGTGCTTAGGAGGAAGAAAGCAAAGGTACATACCTGAGGGAAAAGAGGGGGCAGGCTCAGACATGCTCCAAAGAGAGAGCATACTGGGTCCTTTGTCTTAAGGGTTTGCGTCTGTTTTCTAAAGGTGGGCATTTTAGGGGAGCTCTCCGGGGAGGATCTCAGTAGAATATTTATCAGCTTTCCAGGTGTGTCCTTTCAGGATCCTGGTCTCTAGGGTCAGTGCTAGGATAAGGGTTCATTAGTCATTGCATCTGGTCCAAATGTCAGTCTTTGCGTTGCTTCATCTGTTTTGCTGCTTTTCTGGGCCTGTAGCTGAAAAAAACTGAGGCCTAGATATTATCTCTAGTTTGACCAAAACTCTGTTTACGTGGTCAACAGATCCAAGGCGTTGCTTCTGAGATTATTGAGACTGGTCAGAATTTCATTATCCTGAGGGCGTAATGCGTAAGGGAGTGGTCGTGTAAGGGAGAAGGACACAGGTGGGTTAGGGTGCTGGATGAGGCTGGTTTGAGTCAGCCATGTCTCAGTTTCCCCATCCCACTTGCCAAGGAATTTTCCTAGCTTTTTACTATCTGCCTCAAACCCATCTTTTCAGTCATCCTCGTCTGTAGATCCAGATGCCAAAAGAGAAGCCTGAGGAGTTAGGCTGGAATGGGACTCAAGGTTTAGAGGAAAGAGAAGGGGTTTTGGAATCAGTCAGATGTAAGGAAAAATTCCAGTTCTAATATTGTAGGTCAGGTGACCATAAGCAAGTTGCTAAATCTCTTTGACTTAATATCTTCATTTGTAAAATGAGGATGATAACACCTACCTTTACGATTATTTTGAAGATTAGAGTTACTGTATGTCTGTCATGGAGTAGGCCCTCCATAAATGGGTGCTATATCAGTAGTCATGGTGATGATGATGAAGATGAAGGTGAAGAAGAATTCTGTAGCTACTGAACACCTTGCTAAGTGACTAGAACACATGGTGTGCCGACATGCTGCATACTACTCAAGGAATAGTCTGCAAAACCAAGTCAGGAGATGTTTCTGGGCAATTTCAACTGGTGTTTAGAGTCTTTTTTCCCATGAATCAGCTGTAACATGTACTGTTTTCCCTAGTCCTCTAAGCTGTAGAACTTAGTTATGCTATAGACTAAGTAGGTTGTGAGGATTAGCTTGAGGACAGAATTCCCCCCTTGAGTGTTGGGCACAGAGCTTTGGGTGTGGCAGAGGCTCAATAAAAAAAGTCTGTTCTCTGTGTTTATCATATGACACTGGTAAGCTGTGAAAGTTGCTGGTACTTACGAATATTCTCATTTTCATGCTGATTATTTCTAGAGTCAGTATCCTTCCCCTCAATTTACACATGGGTTTTATTCCAAAGCTCATTTGTAAGGTAAGTTGGAACTTGGAAGCTCAGAGGAAATATAGTTTAAATTATGATTACATGCTCAGTTGCCTTTTCTTTTTTTAAAAAAATATATTTTATTGAATTTTTACAGAGAGGAAGGGAGAAGGATAGAGAGTTAGAAATATCAATGAAAGAGAAACGTAGATCAGCTGCCTCCTGCACACCTCCTACTGGGGATGTGCCCGCAACCAAGGTACATGCCCTTGACCGGAATCGAACCTGGGATCTTTCAGTCCACAGGCCGATGCTCTATCCACTGAGCAAAACCGGTTAGGGCTTAGTTGTCTTTCAAAAGGCCTGTTTAACCCAGTGTAGTTTGATTTAAAAAGAGTTAATCCAGCCCTAAGTGGCTTATCTCCGTGGTTAGAGCATTGGCCCACAGACTAAAGGGTCACAGGTTCGGTTCTGCTCAAGGGGACGCACCTCAGTTGTATGCTCAATCCCTGGCCTCAGTCAGGGCAACCGGTGCGGGAGGCAACCAGTCGTTGTGTCTCTCTCACATTGATGTTTCTCTCTCTCTGTCTCTCCCTCTCCCTTCCACTGTCTCCAAAAATCAATGGAAAAAAATATCCTCAGGTAAAGATAAACAAACAAATAAACAAAAATAGTTAACCCAGTTTCATTAACCAAATATGCATATGTAGGGCTCCCACTGTGGGCTGGGCAGGCACCGTTCTGGGTACATAGACACACTGGAGACTTAATAGTGAATAAGACCTATATAAAAAGTTTATAATCCATGAAGCAGCTATACCTATTATTAAAAGGTAGCTACTGTAAGTGTCATCCTAACCTTTTAAATAAACTGCTTTGAGACTCAAAGGAAACATCATTTATGTGCTGACTTCTGATCATGCCCAAGATATGCTATATTGTTGGATGGGATAAAAGTAAGTTAATAAAAATTGTATAGTATTTTCCCATTTAAAAAATACAGTTATAGTCATAGAAAACACAGAAGAATATGCAACACTTTGGGAAGCTGAGCACCATGGTTAGAATGAGGGTTTTGGAGCCAGACACCATGGATTTGAATCCCAGCTCACCCTCTTATTAGGGGTATAAACTTGGTTAAGTCACTTAACCTCTTTTTTGCCTCACCTGTAAAATGGATATAATAATTGCACTTACCTTTTAGGTTACTGTGTGAGTTATATGAGTGATCATGTGTCAGGTGCTTAGAGCAGCTCATAGAAAGCCTTAAGTGTTATCTTAAATATAAAGGAAAGATAACTTTGGTTAGAGTGAACAAATACACCGATTGTACTTGCAAAGATCTAGGTTTTAGGAGTCAGGATCTATATGGGTAAAACTCATTAGAATCTAGGTCAGCCGTGGGCAAACTACGGCCCACGGGCCGATGCGGCCTATTTGAAATGAATAAAACTAAAAAAAAAAAAAAGACCGTACCCTTTTATGTAATGATGTTTACTTCGAATTTATATTAGTTCACACAAACACTCCATCCATGCTTTTGTTCCGGCCCTCCGGTCCAGGTTAAGAACCCATTGTGGCCCTCGAGTCAAAAAGTTTGCCCACCCCTGACTAGGTCATTCTTCATTTTCTTAGTTTCCTTTCTTCTGCTTCTACTCCAGCTTTCTTGCCAAAGCTCCCATGCTTGCAGGAAAGGTGGATTGGGCCCAGGCAGGGGTGGGGCACAGCTGTGGCTCTGGAGGGAAGGGTCAAGTCTAGTTTCTGTGCTTGGTGTGTGTGTGTGTGTGTGTGTGTAGGTGACTGAATGGTGGTCTGCTTTTTTTAAGACACTTTTGTGCAGAAATTCAAATATATAAGCATTAGACTTTACAACATGTCATTTTGTTCCCCACTGAAGATTGTCCTCATGAACAAGTCACATTTTATTGATTTTCAGTCAGAGTGTGTTAATTTTTTGTAAAGTATAAATTAGTGTATTTTCTGTAAAGTATAAATATTTATGTAGGAGAAACAGATTTGATCTTCCAGATTCTAATGGAAGTATCCCATATAACCATTTCTCTGATGTGGAGCAAACTGTTCTTACTATTATTTTAATTTTAAATCTCTTAGGTCACATATTCTATCCTAGTTAAGTGTTAAGTATTGCACTTTTTAAAAATTACATAATTCATATAAAAATGTTTTTTAAACCTTTTTTTATTCAGTAAGTAACTAATTTAAATAAATATATCAGATTGTTATTTCATTGTTTGTCCTTTTACATTAATTACTATTGAAATCAGGACAATTATATAATCATTTATTAGACCCATACTAATTTTTTTTTTTTTTGTCTCTTGCAGGATTTCTGGTCGGTCCTATTTCAGGGCAAGATGCGGTTCTGTTGAAACGCCAATCTGCTTTGATTCACAGACGAGTCGTTTCAGCTGGGAAGCCTTTTTTTTTTTTTTCTGCTGGCCTACTGAACTTATGAAACCATGGCAGAAGGAGAGACAGAGTCACCTGGGCCCAAAAAGCGCGGTCCTTACATCTCATCTGTAACTAGCTGGAGTGTAAATTTGATGATTCGAGGAGTAGTGCTGTTTTTTATTGGAGTATTTCTGGCATTAGTGTTAAATTTACTTCAGATTCAGAGAAACGTGACCCTTTTCCCACCTGATGTGATTGCAAGCATCTTTTCTTCAGCATGGTGGGTACCACCGTGCTGTGGCACAGCTTCAGGTATGTGCAGGTTATTTCTGTAATGCTTAGGAAGAAAATGGGGTGAATGAGTGTGGATTTAAAAAAAAAAATTTAACTTTATTGAGGTATAATTTAAATATTATAAATGTACCTATTTTAAATGAACAATTTGGTGGGTTTAGACAAATGGATGCATTCATGTAACTACCACCACAGTCCAGTTATAGAACATTGCCGTTCCCCACAAATTCTCTTGTGCCCTCTTGCAGTCCACTTCCCAGCCCCAGCCTCAGGCTTCCACTGATGTTTCCATGACTAGGTTATTTTTGCCTGTTATAAAATGTAATGTAAAAGGAATCATAGAGCATGTACTCTTTTGGGTCTGATTTCTATCTGTTCCATGTCTTTCAAAAATGTAATCCTAAAAACCTGATTCCTTTAGGGATGAGGCTTTCAGTCTCTTAATTTTTTTCCTATCTTCAACCCATCTCATGTAAGTCTTATTTTAGGTTATTTTGATGATGATCACCACTGTTTGGTTTGAAGGGTGTGGTCTTACAGGTGTGTTATGGTCTTCTTTTTGAAATAGATAAAAACCTGACAGAATAGTTTTGTTCAAGTTAAAAGCTTCATATTGTATGTTTTGTTTGGTGGACAGTGTATATGGATAAAGTGGAGCATTTCAGAAGCCTTATTGATGACGCTGATCTGTCATAATGAGTAGCTGTTTAGCTTTTTCTAATGATGAATTCTAATAGATTAATAATATTTTATATAATAAGGTCATGGAAGCCATAATTGTGTAGTAGAAGGGAATTCTGATGAGGGAGAAAATTGCTTTTTTTGAATGTCTGCTTGGTGTCACATACTTAATATACATGAATACTTTACAGTATAATATAGATACTTCTTGACTTACATCCAGAACTGGAGGTTGAAGGGTAAGAAGTTAGGTATAAGGCATTTTGAATGTCCTGGTGAAACTAATTAGACAGTTACATAATTCTATCACATGAGTGGAAGGGTGTTGTCATGATGAGGCTTCAGTGTGCTGTATTTATTGATGTCTCACTATTATAACATTCACATCAAAAGAGAAGTTGTAAAGGTGATGGTTCTTAGTTTCCATAGGGTTGTTATTATTCTGAGAGAATAGGTGAAATAGTCCAAACAAAGATAAGACAGCATAAATTATATTTCATTCTCTGTTGTATCATGTAAAAATTCTGAAAAGAGAAAAAGTGTTCCTAACAACTTTTACTAGTTCGTTGTTATTTTCTACCATCATGTAACTACCTTCTGGCCACCAATAGAAGCTTTTGGTGACTTGGAAGAACATGACTTTTAGGAATAGACGAGGGGAAAGTCAGAGGAGGGAAATAGTTACTGAATGTCTACTAATGTGCCAGGCACATGCTTCCACCCCAAGGACCAGCAGGTCACCTTTGGGAGCATTGTGCCTGTTTTGGGGGATGAGGAAGCTGAATGATAAGAGGATATTAAGGGACCCAGGGTTCCAGAGCCAGTGACTGGTGCAGCTAGGTCAGTGTCCCAGGCCTCCTCTACTCAGGGTGCCTTTTTCAAAGCCTCCAGCCTCATAAGTGGGACGCTTGAATGGAATACACTTGCATGTGTTGCACCTTCTGGGCTTGGTCAGGAGAACTTAACTAAGGTTTTATTGTACCTCTGTTATGGAGAACAGGGTGGTGGGGGCACTTCTGCCACAAACTCACACTTACTAGTAGGAAGGAAATTCTAAATGTTAATACTACATTTCATTCACTTTGTCCCTGCTTTCCTTCCTTTTCCCAGCCACTAGGTTTCTCACACTTACAAACTCAACATCACACCTTTTCATTTGGGGATTTGCATTTCTTGCTTAATTGTTTCTTCTGAAAGCAGTGCATTCTATGAGGCACCCAGACAAAAGAAAGTAGAGGCATTAGGAAATCTAGATTTCAGTCACCTCTGCTACTGGTTTTGTTGGGTAAGATATCAGATTTGGAGAATTTGCCAAAAATGGATGTCTTGCATAATTGCTGCCTCCTCCCACCCCCAATTTCAAGGAAAATATTATAGAAAAATAAATGATGTAAGAAATATCACGTGTATGACTCTGCGTGTGTATGTAGCATGCATGTATTCTGTGTATCAGTTGGTATGCATTTTCAAAGCTCTCTAGGCTCCCACCATCTTAAATCAGAAAAACTGATTATTGTCCTTTGATTTCCCTGTCCAACTAGTATTCACACACTGAGGGTCTCTGCATCCCCATTCTCTACATGTGAGCAGAAGAGTCCTTGGTTATTTCTACCTCTCTGTGTAACACATAGGACTGAGAATTTGCTACTAGGGCTTCTGGAGGGCCAACTAGTAGAGAACTCTGGTAAATTGCTTCTCTATTTTTAGTTTAATGATTAGTGTTTCGAGTTGATTAACTTCTTTATGTGTAGTGCATTAGAATTGGAGTTAGAAAACTCTTCAACATTATTGAGGACCATAATAAAGGAATCTTTCTGAATAATAAATAGAAAAAAAGACAACTATAATTATGTGGGTAAAGTAAGTAGAGAAGTTGACTCAAAAATCACAAGTTACCAGATTGTGTTCATACTTATGAAACTAATGTCTAATTTAAAAAGAAAAAACAAATCTTTCCTGTTTAGCCATGCAGTTAGTTACCCAATTTCTGGAGAGCCCCGCAAGTCTCCTGCCTCTCTCTCTCTTAACTCTCACATCCAGTTTCCAAGTTTTACATCTTTCCTCTGTCTCTTTTTTGGGCAAAGCCCTCAACCACTCTGCTTGGCATTTTCAGGTCTTTTCTTTTTCTGCCTCTAATTTTGTACCATCCTTCAGCCTCCCTCCCTGATGCAGATGTGATGGCATTATTTTTCTGGTTCCCTGTATCTGCAGGGTAAAGTCTCTATGATATGGCCCTTGCCTACTTTTACCTTCCTCAGAGCCTTTCTGGATGCTGAGCTCCCTTTCTGCCTAACCCCGACAGTTTCCAGGTGATACTGGTGTTTTCTGTTCCCAAATGCTTTGGTTAGAAAGCTCTTTTCACATCATTTACCTGCCAAATGCTCCAACCTCAAGGATCACCTCTTCTGTGAAGCTTTCCTGACACCTCTCCACCCCTCAGGACATGCCAGGAGAAGACTGAGACCTCACTGGCCCTATCAGTGCTATCCCTAAACACATTACAGTATTTAATTGTTGCTTTGGTCACTTTGGGAATGCGGTCATATGATACTCTTTTTTTATTTAAATTTAAAATCTTTATTGTTGAGCATATTACAGATGTCCCCCTTATCCCCCCATTGCCCCTCCTCCAGCCAGTTCTTGCCTGGCCCCAGGCCTTTACTACCCTATTGTCTGTATTCTTAGCTAATGCATATATGCATATAAGATCTTTGCTTACTCTCTTCCTGCCCTCCCACCCCCCTTCCCTCTGAGATTCCTCAGGCTGTTCCATGTTTCCATGCTGATTCTACTTATTCATCAGTTTATTTTGTTCATTAGATTTCTTGTTTGTTTATTTTGATTTTTAGATTCAATTGTTGAGAGATATGTATTTATTACTATTTTATTGTTCATATTGTTTTTATCTTTTTCTCCTTATTCTTTTTCCTCTTCTTAGAGAATACTTTTCAACATTTCATGTAATACTGGTTTGATGGTGATGAACTCCTTTAGTTTTTTCTTGTCTGTGAAGCTCTTTATCTGACTTTCAATTCTAAATTATAGCATTACTGGGTAGAGTAAGCTTGGTTGTAGGTCCTTGCTATTCATCACTTTGAGTATTTCTTGCCACTCTCTTCTTACTTGCAAAGTTTCTGTTGAGAAATCAGCTGACAATTGTATGGGCACTTCCTTGTAGGTAATAAACTGCTTTTCTCTTGCTGCTTTTAAGATTCTCTCTCTTTGTCTTTAACTTTTGGCAATTTAATTATGATATGTGCTGGTATGGGCCTCTTTGGGTTTCTCTTGTTTGGGACTCTCTGCACTTCCTGGACTTGTAAGTCTATTTCTTTCACCAGGCAGAGGAAATTTTCGGTCATTATTTCTTCAAATAGGTTTTTAATATCTTGCTCTCTCTGTCTTTTCCTTCTGGCACCCCCATAATAAGAATGTTGTTAAGCTTGAAGTTGTCCCAGAGGCTCCTTACATTATCTTCATATTTTTGGATTCTCTTTTTTTCCACTTCTGATTGGATGGTTTTTTTTCTTCTTCTTATTCCAAATTGTTGATTTGCTTTTCAGAACCCTCATTTCTACTGTTGAATTCCTATGAAAGAATTCTTTATTTTAGTTAATGTATGCTTAATTTCTGTTTCGTTCTTTTTCATGTCTTTGACATTCTCACTAAGATCCTTGAAAGTCTCACTAAGTCCCTTGATGTGCTCATTAATTCCCTTGAAGCTCTCATTAAGTCCCTTGAAGCTCTCATTAAGATCCTTGAGTAACCTTTTAACCATTGTTTTGAACTTTGTATTCAGTAGTTTGCTTGCTTTCATTTCTTTCATTTGTAACGTGTTTCTTTGTCTCCACATTTTGGCTGCTTTCCGGTATTTATTTCTGTATATTAGGTAGAGCAGTTATGTCTTCTGGAATTGGTAGAGAGGCCTTGTGTATTAGGTGTCCTATAGGGCCCAGTGGCTCAGTCTCCCCAGTCACCTGAGTTAGGCACTCTAGCTGTGCCCTTGTGTGGGCTGTGTGCAAAGTCTTGTTGTAGTTGAGCCTTGATTGCTGTTGGCTCACTGGGAGGAATTGATCTCAGGCCAAGTTGCTGTGCAGGAGACACTCCCTGTGGAGCAGAACTTGCTTCAGTATGGCTTGGGTGCTCACTAGTCTGCCCCTTGAGTGTGTCACTTGTGAATGTGTAGAGTTGTAATCTGGTATGATCTGAAGCTGTCCACTGGGTGCACTGGCTCAGGGGCCTCCTGGGAGTTGCAAAGCCAGCCAATACCTGGGGCCACCCACCAGGAGCTACAGAGAGCTCTACAGATGGGTGCTACTTGTATTGGGCTAGAAAGTGCCCAGATGATGCTCAGCTGTGACGCAAGGCAGGCTGGTGCTGGAGCCAAGTATTGGGCCTTTTATTGATTGGTTTGGGACACGTTGACTCCAGCTGCTGCTTGTTTAAGAGATTTTAGCAAAGTCTGAAGCTTGAGCTAGGTCAGGCCATTCATATGGAAAAGCAGCTGCAAACAGCTTGGGTGGGGCTGTAAATTGGACAGGGCAGCATCTCAGGGAATCACCAGGGCAGATGGAACAGTGTGGGTCATACTGATGGAAACTCAGATATGGCTGCCAGTCAGCTCTGCAACAGGGAGGTCCCAGCACAGGAACAATGATCCCTGTAAGCACCCCTGTCTGGGAGAAAGCCACCCCTGAATTCCTGCCCCTACATCAGACAGTCTAGTTCTTCCCCAGATGTCCCTGGATTCCCCCCCAATGCCGCCACCTGGCACTGGAGCTCAGAGGAAGCGAGACCGTGTAGGTTTATGTGTGGGCCCTTTAAGAGGAACAGCTGTGAATCCAGCAGCCTCCATGTCACTCAGCCATAATCCCCGCTGGTTTTTATAGCTCAAAATTATGGGGACTTCTCTTCCCAGCTCTTAAACCCTGGGATGGGTCTGGTTTGTGACTGGGACCCCCTGCTTCTCATGGGAGGCCTTTGAGATATCCCTCCTGATTAAAAAACTCCACATTTGGGTGTCAGACCAACCTATTCTGTGCCTCTGCCCCTCCTACCAGTCTCAATGTGCTTTCTTCACTTCTCTAGTTGCAGGACTTCCATTCAGCCATGTTTCAGGCAGTTCTGAGTGATAGTTGTACTGTATTTTAGTTGTAATTTTGATGTGGTTGTGGGAGACAGAGAGCACAGGTGTTTATCTACACTGCCATCTTGGTTCTCCTCTTTTTATTTTTTTTATTTTTAAATCCCCAGCAAATACAAAGAACCAGAAACAGTGTAGGAGCTTTTTTGTTGCATGAAAACATTGCTTATTCTATAATACTTTTCCATGAAAGTATATCTCATTCAGTGGTTTTGTTTTTTTAGCCCCTTTTCTTTGAAAAATGTTTGATTTAGCGATTCCTTTTAGTGTATCAATGCATTAAACACCTTACCATGTAAAAGTGATGATAATATTGGTGTTTTACAAACTCTTTTTGTTTATAGTCTTGATAGGCTATTACTAGTCACTGGGAAATAAATGTATAGACATACATTGGAGATTTGCAGGTTTGGTTCCAAATTACCAAAATAAAGCAAATATTGCAATAAAGCAAGTTACATCAATTTTGGAGTTTCCCAGTCCATATAAAAATTATGTTTACATTATACATTAGTCTATTAAGTGTATAACAGCATTATATCTAAAATGACAATATACATACCTTAATTAAAAATACTTTATTGCTAAAAAATGCTAACCATCATCATTACTTGCAGTGAGTTGTAATCTTTTTGCTGGTGGAGTGCCTTACCTTCAATTGGAAAAATAAATCTGCAAAGCTCAATAAAGCAAAGTGCAATACAATGAGGTATGCCGCTATCCCAAGAAATATGGTTTTGCATCAGAGAACCATCTGGTTTACCAGGACTTGTTTGCCTATGATTTTACACAGGACTACTTATAAAATAGTCTTTCTTGTTGAAATAAAGTGGAGAAAGAGGATAAGAAGACCAGACCTACCTTTGCTGAGCTCTTACGCAGTGAGCTTCACTGTGCTGTAGACATCGCTATCAGACTCTGCCGTGCCTTTATTTAAAGGGAAGAAAGAAGATATGTAATGGGAAGTGCCAAGCTTCCTTGAATTTTCCCTCTCAGTGAGCAATGGAAAACCATGCATACTCAATGGATTTGATTTTTACTGCCAGATCCCAAGGTTGGCAGCATGGTGGTTTAAATTCCTTTTGTGTTTTTGCTCTCTCTCCTTAGTTCTCTCTCACTTGTGAGTCTGACATCACATGCATAAAAATATAGTCTGTTTACTTATTTGTATCTTTGCATACATATTGGTCTTCTCTATGTGATAATTCTTTACCTATGGCATCAGCTGCTGAGGAAAATTGACTTGGAATGCCTAATCTTAGTTGATTTTACTTAGCAATAGGCAGAGGGAGGAGAAAGAGCAAGAACGAGAGTGAGAATTGACATCCGAGCTGTTAGTTTCATGACCCCTTAAGGAAAAAAAAAAGGTGATACTCAATTAGATACATTTCAACTCTTAGGCATGCTTGTTGCCATTTTAACTTTGTAGAAATTTGAAAATGCTGTCAGTTAATTTTATAGGATTTTAGAGCCTGGCCTTTTAAATAGGAATATACAGTAAGTTCTCACTTGAAGTCCTCATAGGTTCTGCAACTTTAATTGAAATGACAGACAACAAAACTCGGTCTATTATAGGCTAATTGATATAAACAAGAGTTTAAGCTCCTATAATGTTATAGTGAAATGACAGTGAATGAAGTGACATTATTCAAGGACCAGTTATAATGTAAAACTTTTAAATTTACTAGCAGTTTTTGCACCTCTGAATTACTGAAGTTTGTTGCTAATCTGTTGATGGTCTATGAACCATCTATATTTAGCAAAGGTCTAACTCAAAAGAGCATCTTCAGGTGTTTTGTGGGTTAGAAAATGCATACATTATTGCAGCCTCTTCTTTATGCTGCTCCACTGCTCTTCTGGCCTGTGAGTTTTGATACTAATTGATTTCCATTTTCCTTGAAGATCAAATGCATCTTTTGTGTGGTATAGGTAGCCAACATCAGGCCAGGGAGAGCTTCTGACCCTCGGGGACTCAGATTTTGGTACAACAGTTTCATGCTAAGCCATAGGTAGTATGAGACATTTTAAACATGCTTTTCAACTGATGTGACAGTTGTGTCTTTGTTTCCTAGTGAGCATAAGCATCCTGTTTTTAGGAAGATTAACAGGAAATAGCTAGCAGTTTTGCTTTGCTAACTTTAATAGGTGGAAATACATTTTCCTTATAACTTGTTAAAGAAAGTTTGGGTTCATTAAAAAGTCTTTTTTTAAATGACTAAGCATTTCAAATCTTCAACTAAATAAATAAAAAATTGAGGTTTGACAAGTAAGTTAAAAATTGTGTGACAGTATTTTGATACTCAATTATGGACATTTTACATATATTTATTTATAACTAATTATACAGTTAGCAGTCAAGGATGTCTTTATAGAAGACGTGTACTGAAATGATATCTTATATTTTAGTAATGAATTTAAATTACAAATTTTACCAAAAATATGTAATTCTTATAGACCATGTTTCCTTCATTTTTCTTATGTGCAGAATGAGTCTTATATGTAGATTTCTATTGTGAGTTATTCTGCTTTGACAATACGACCTAGAATCTCATTAGAGGGTCAGGGTGGAAGGGAGTGTCAGATCAAGGGCTAGATGCAGGAGACTGAGACAAGAAGCTGGAGGGGCAAAGGTGGTCTATGGAACAGGTGAGCCATAGCCATCAGAATATTGTGTGTATGGCGAGCTCGTTGTACGTGGTTAGTTCCTACCTTCTGTGTAGATTTGTGGCATTTAATAGAATGTTTCATGGTAATATAGCTTAGAGAGAACATTGCTTAGCTGCCAGCTGATTTGATGCTGTCAAGTCTCAGAGACATTAGTATTAGAAAAGTAGCATGAGTCATCTAGTCCATTCTGCTAAATTGTGAATCATAGCCTGAAGTAGTGTTTTGTCTATTATAATTTAGTATACCGTTGCAATCATTTATAATGCTTCAGTGGTGTTCTCATTTATTTTTCTTTGGGGAGGTAAGTTTAAAATATCAGCAATTGACACTAAGTAACTTGAAGAGCTTTGTAAAAGAATCTTTCAAATCCTTATGGTGGTTGTAGTGACTCTTAGCTTAAGTTTCGCCAGTATCCCATTGGAGATAACATAATTTTTTCTCTTTTTTTTTCTGCAGCTGTGATTGGGTTATTATACCCCTGCATTGACAGGCATCTAGGAGAACCCCATAAATTTAAAAGAGAGTGGTCCAGTGTAATGCGGTGCGTAGCCGTCTTTGTCGGTATAAATCATGCCAGCGCTGTATCCTTTTTGCTGTAATGAAATGCATAATAACAAAGCAGCTCCCGACAAACCAAAGGTTAAGGGCCCCTTGCAACTTCACTGTTGTCAAATGGTGATATGCCCACTGAGTCATAAAAAGAATGTGCTTCGTATTGTCAAAACATCACAGTAGCATCTATATGTGTGGGATTTAGCCTTTCGTTTAAATCCCATTCTTTCCATATAACTTAGAAAATTTGCATGTTTAAAACATTTACATGTTTTTCTTAAGTTAGGTTACTAAATTATTTACATATAGCTTTGGTAAATCTAGGATTGAAACAAGTAAATTTTCAAAAGATTCCTTTCCTCTTTTATCATTTAAGGTTTGGCAGTAAAGACTTGTGGTGGCTTCAGGTGCTGGTTTTTTTGTTTTGTTTTGTTTTTAATTTCAAGAACCTATAATTTAAAAAAAAGACTGTTATTTATTGGTTTTGATCAACACCAGCAAACCACATAAATGTTCTTAAAGGTGGCATAATAGAAATATCCAGCTTAGACCATGGTCAAAAAGAACTTTTTTCCCTAAGGTGTGTGTGTGTGTGTGTGTGTGTGTGTTTTTCTTTTCTTAGTCCTCACCTGAGGATATGTTTATTGATTTAAAGAGAGAGGAAGGGGGAGAGAGAGAGAGAGCGAGGAACCTCAATGTGAGAGAGAAACATCGATTGGCTGTCTCCCATGCATGCCTGGACCAAGGATCAAGCCCACAACCTAGGTTTGTGACCTGACTGGAATTGAACCTGCAACCTTTTGGTGTATGGGATGACACTCCAACCAGTTGAGCCATCCAGCCAGGCCAGGGACATATTTTTACAGTTTGATCATTTAAGAATTCTGACATTTTATTTAGTGATTAATGATCATTTTTTATAGTGTCCTAGCTAGAAGGACAAATAGCTTCTATTTCCCTTCTTCCCTTCTACCTCTCAGAAAAAAATGTCTACCCCCAGAGCAAAAGTTTTTGCCCTCATAAGGCTTTCATTCTGTCATCCTCCCTACTTCTTCTCCCTACCCCAACTTTCCTTTGTAAAAGAGGATCTGGGGAATGCTAGTTCAGTCTTCCCTCTTCTAGGAGATGTTGCTTACAGAATGGTTGTGGTGGAGTCTGTGGTATTGGGAAGAGCAGGAAGTGTGACTCAGGCTGCCCACCATTTCCTCTTGTAACTGCATTGGGCTCAGGGCTGGTAGTTGGCTGGAGAGAAGGTGGGTCATGTGGCAGCTAGATTGCTGTGCCTTTTACAGAAAGTATTGTGTTTTGGAGAAGCTTGGGAAGAGGAACCAAGAAAAGAGCAGGGTCCTCTATGCTAAAAACACATCACATCTGCTGTTCTGTTCCCAGCATGCTGGCCCTTGGAGATCTGTGGATTTGGAAGGCTCTCAGTGGCTGTTATTATGTTGGTTTTTCCATTTCCTTTTGTATTAAAAAGTTTCCCAACATTTTTAGTTTGGGGAAAATTTTTGATATTTAGCATTTTATAACAAACAAACCTAATGATTAGGAGGACTTAAAAAGATAGACTCATGGAATATTGTACTAGAAAAAAACTTAGAAATCACCTAGTTCCACATTTTCTTTATTAAGATAATACAGATGAAAGCTAGCGAGGTTAGGTGCTTTGCCAAGCCTTCCATACTGTAAGGCTGGGTTACAGCTGAGACCAGATCCCAGAGATCCTGATTCCAGTCTGGGGAATGTTCATTCTCCTGTCAGGAGCTCCACCAGTGTGTAAATGCTCTCTATGCAGTGGACTAGACCTTTTCATCTCAGACAGTTCAACTCTTTTAAGTTGAAAAATTTAAATAGCCTTTTCCTAGAATTTAAAAATGTTTATATATCTAATTTAAATTCTTTACTTTGGTCTTTCTTTTCTTTCTCAATCAAATACTTAAGTATGGCAGTCTTAGCTGGACCTCCTTTAATCCAAACATAAAGTGTTTACATATTTATAGCATAGACTTAAATTAATTTGACTTCATAAAATCTCATGGTACTGTTTTTAAGGTTGATATTTTACCTGTTTACCAAAGAAGCCTCCTTATTTTGCTTGGTTCTTAATGAAGTTAATTTAGTTAGCAAGACAGAACTCAATGTCAAAATCTACTCTTTACAAGAATGTTTTTGCATAGAGAAATCAGAGCTCACAAGCTTTCTTCATGGAGTTTGATGCATTATGTCTGCTAAAGAATAAACAAAACTTTTTCAGAAAGCATACTGGTAACCTGGAGGTTTCTTGATAAATCTAGCCTCAGCAGGAAGTGACCTCGAAGGAGAGGCCCCTGACAGCTGAGAGGTAAGCACACTGTGCTCAGGGTACCAGCTGTTGGGTGGGGGTGTGTGGAGGGGTGAATAGCAGGGTGTTAAAGGAAGTAGGAAATGGTTTCAGATCCCTCTTTTGAACTTCTGCTTCTTCTCTCCAGTTGCAGCATGGCCAGTTTGGCGGAGATAGGTAGTCTCCCCCGGGGAGCTGGAATATAGAGCCAAGATGTGGCCTTTGGGACATAGATAACGTCCTTTTAATAATACTTGAAATTAATTCCTTTAGTGTAATCCTTTAGCAAAGAAATGGGAAAATTGAATGTATAAAGCTGCGTTTTGCTCAGAGATTTTAGAATAGAAAAGGGCTGCACATTTGTGAATTGACGCTTAAGTAGGTGATGGAAATAAAATATCGTTTGTGCTAACTGTCCTATGCCAGAATGTCCCAGGCACCAAAATAGCTTGGCAGGTTGCAAGATAATATTCGCTTCAAGGCTTTATCCTCAACAAATTAAAACTAGAACAGTTGACATAATAGAAAGGGATACTGTGTCCTTGGTACTCTTGTTTCTGAACTGCATTATTATAAAATGTGTCTGCCAGTAAATCATATAGAGAATGTGCACCCTGTTAAATAGCTGTCAGCTCTTCTATTTTCGAGTTCCTGTATGATTCTCAACTAACTCTCAACCTGTTTGAGAGGTAATATTGGTTTTCTTTTTATTAAAAGTGTGTTTCTGTAGTAAATCCTGTGTTCTGAGTCCACCCGTTAACATTTTTAGCAAAGAAAGCAGTTTTCATATAATGGGTCCAATCTTATAATTGGGAACGTATATAAAGTGTTTTGTCTTTGTTTTCTTAGGAATTACAGGTTGGTAGTATCTATTGAAATATCATGCCCTCTGTGTCTGAATGCACTGTAGAATAAGCAATTAATTCCCCTTTTAATAGTAGCATGTCTGATTTTAGAAAAATGAACAGATGATATTATTTGGTTATAAGTTTTAAGATGACTCTTTAACACTGACCTCAGAAAGTGGACTTTGATAACAACATACAGTTGTCTCTCACACTGGCTGCACTCTCCATTGGACTGTGGTGGACTTTTGATAGATCTCGAACTGGTTTTGGCCTTGGAGTAGGAATTGCTTTCTTGGCAACCTTGGTCACTCAACTGCTAGTCTATAATGGTGTTTATCAGTAAGTATTCTTTTTGGTGCTTGTTTGCTAAAATAGATAAATGATAGCTGAATTCAGATTGAGATTTTAAAATTGGGTTAGACACGTTAATCTGAAGAGCAACTTATTTCTATTGTAATGATTTAAATAAGTATTGTACCGTTAAAAACATTTCTGTTATTCTAGATATACTTCTCCAGATTTTCTCTATGTTCGCTCTTGGTTACCATGTATATTTTTTGCTGGAGGCATAACAATGGGAAATATTGGTCGACAACTGGCAATGGTAAGCTGATGCTTATTTAATCACTTTTGTGTTATTGAGATGTAAGACAAGTTTTCTCCAAATGACAGTCCTTTTTTAAGGGAAAGCAATTTGTGAAGACAGCATTCTTTGATTTCTCTCTGCGATTCCATTGAAATAAATCATTTGGAAGAATTTAATCACAAGTATATTAAAAGTTGAAGCAACCATGGATAGGAAAGCTAAACTGTGTTATGGATAGGGTGATTTGATTTATCTTCCACCCTTTTTGTAAATTAATTTGTAGGTTTACTTTTCAAAAAGGAACAATTTTAACAGTGAAAGGAGGTTCTATTAATAACCACATTGCTACAATGACATAAATTAGAATTAGCTTCAGCAAATCAAGATGATTGATCATTTTAGTTGAGAAGGAAGGGACATTGTTGATAACCCCAGTTATAGGTGGCAAGGGTCCGGGAGTAACATTCACAGGCCATACCAGTTTCACCAAATGGTTGCCACTTTAATCAGTAGGAGAATCGAGTGGTTTGTGATGCTGTCTTTTTGATAATCTACCCAATTATTCTAAGTGCATTGGTTTCCTTTATTTTGAATTGTGGGTACATGTTTATAGTTGTACTTTTAAAATATTGTTTTGACTAGAAGCTTTTGCTAATGTAATAGATTTTTTCCTTTAAATTGTAAAGTGATTTGAAAAAAATATTACCTTAATTCACTGTCAAAAGTGTCAGTCCTGTCCTTAAGTTCATGACCTTCCCTTTGCTGATTCACCTTACTGAGCACTCAAAGAAACCTATTTTGCTTTCTTTCATATTCTAGGACTCATCTGAATCATATACTGTCATTATTTGCTTGTAATACAAAAACCTCATCTTTCCTCTGCTTTTGTCTATGCCTCCACTTCTAGAATGTGAAGTTTTCCCTCCTATCACATTTGTCATTTAATCCTAATAGTTGTCTAACTCTGAGATTCTTTGAGTAATAAAATGTGCATAGATTAATAAAGAATTAATTTTTAGATCTTTTAAGTTTAAATTGCTTTTCAAAATAAACCTTTATATGTTAATCTTTTAACCTTTTCAATTTTGCAGTATGAATGTAAAGTGATCGCAGAAAAATCTCATCAGGAATGAAGAAGGCAAAAATATATTTTTTGTATAGAGAAACAAGATGAAAAGGGCATGTACATGATAGATATACCAATGAAACTACGGATTGTAAAATTGCCAGTATGCAGTTTTTACTGTGATTATTATATATATATATACACACACACATATATATATGTATATGTGTGTGTGTATATATATATATATATATATATGTATATATACGCACACATATATTCCTGCAATCTGTGATTGCTTCCTCTGTAAATCAGCTACAAACCTTGTGTATTTGACTTAACTGTAAGATATATATGCACTACATTAAAAATGTCGATTAATAGATGAAATTTTTAAATTAATTTTTTAAACATACTGTATATTGTATCACAATGTTGATGTGCCAAAATATTCTCTTACTGTCATGCAGAGTATAAGAATGCTTTGAACAGTTATAAACTTAGCGTAATAAAATAAGAGGAAAGCCAAAAAAAGAAATGGAAAACTGGTATATTCTCTTTTGTTTACTGTTGTTCCTGTTTATTTTTCTAATTACAGCAGTATGAGTTATGGGTGCTCTAATGTGTAGTTACTTTCTACACATTGGGGCAAAAGTAGTTTTACAGTTGTTCATATGGAAAATAATACAATAATTAATAAATAATAATACAAGAATAAACTGTTTCGCATACTCACAACTATAAACCTACTTTTGCCCAACCCTATATTTTAATGTTGTTTCAGAGAACTTTGGATGTTTTAATATATAATGAAGATGAACTTCCATAGAACATTTTCAAACCTGCATTACTGGAGAGAGTCCAAAGAGTAATTTTCTGTTTTGGCAGATTTTACTGGAGGTAAAAGTGATGAGCAGAAAAGGCTATCAGCATTAAATTGTTTTTTCTCTAAACCTAAAAGAGTAAATATATATAAATAAAAGTAATGACCATTGGGGAATTTACCTAGAATAAATGTATGTTTTAGAAATACAAAATGACCTTCTGCAGTGCCACAAAGTGTTGAGTAATATTAACTGTTATTCGCAATATAGAATCCTTCTGCTTTTGTACATGGAACACCTAAAAAATCCCAAACAGATCTAAATGAAGTTTCTAATTCTATTGGGTTCTGTCCTTGGGTTCCAAAATCTATTGGGCTGTATAAATTAAACCACTTTGGTTGTGCTGGGTCATTGTCAGAGGAATGCCATCTGGGGAATGCCTGGGCACATAATTTCCTATCTATTCATATGCCCATTAGTGAATAGTTCAAATCTGTTTAAGAATGTATTGAGATGGCATATCATGCATGTTAGAAATCTTGATAACAATTTTGTGTATTTTTTTTTTTAACACAACTAGAGTCATTTAAATATGGCTTGAATATATTTTTAGTTAACTTTTCCCTCAATTTTCAGTTTTGAAATTGATGGCAATTTTTTGATACACAAGGATGAATGAAATCTTCTGCTTACTCTGTGTTTGTGTTTGTGTGTGTGCGTATGTGCTGAACTGAGTGAGAGAGAGAATATATATGTGTGTATGTATATGTATGTGCATGTGCCCATGCTCTTTTGACATGTTAACTAGAAATTTAAAAATTTGGATATAAAACCATTGCTGTCAGACTGAGATCTTGTATGCCAAACTTTAATGTGCTTTTTACATTTTAAGGCTGAAAGTGTTAAAATCCTAAGAGGATTTGATATTGAATAAATGTAAACAATCTTAACTATAGTGGTGGTTAACATACTACTATAATTTATTATTCTGTCTTCCAGATAATGTTATTCATTTAGAACAAAAAAGTATATTTTTAGAATCAACTTTGTAAGCACTATAAATCTTTAATAAGTTATAAGGTCTATGATGTGTTTACTTTGAAAATTGCTGTTAAAAGCAAGGTGTATTAAATACATAATTATATTCTTGGTTAAGAGTCTTTTTTTCTTGTGTTAAGTCATAGAATATAGTAATGAAGATTAATTTAATAAAATTAAGATGTATGGTTGATTTTACTAGGATATGATGAAAGGAAATTAAGTTTAGTTTTACAGTAATTGAATGATGTCATTTTGGGGTTCTTAAATTATTTTCAAATCACCTAGAAAATATGAAAAGATATGGCAAAAGTAAAATTGATTTGAAATTTTGATAAGTATATAGATATATTACATCTTTTTTGCAACAAAAGTAAGTAGTAAACATCTTTTAACATTGTTATATTTGGAGTGCTTTCTTTTTGTTTTGTTCTGTCATCAACATTTTTATTTAGTGTAGTATATGGCAGGATGTAAATATGCCTTTCTTATTAAGGGCAGGCTTTTGTATAACTAAGATTTGTGGACAACATTTTATACAACAAAAGAAAAGAAAATCTATGAACTATCAGAAAAGGAAAATAAACATTTAATATAAATTATAGAGGGCAGTTACAATGAAACTCCATCACTTTTCTAGCTCAAGTTTACAAAATAAAGTCAACCCTGATAATATCACTCCTAACACAAATACAGAACCCAAACCTAAGAAATTGGCTGTTATTCCCAAGCCTTGAAAATAGGAGATAATAATGATATTGAATCAAAAGCATATATAGGCAAAAACATAATATTGATAAGTGGTTGCATTATTGGGGCTTGTTGCAAGCTAAATACATGTGAAGTCATCCCTGAGAATACAGTGGTCTATGCCGTAGACTGCCTTTGTCAGGTGCAGACTGAGCAACCACAGCCCCAGGCCCTGCAGCTGGATTTCCTGATGAAAATGTTGCCAAACTACCACCATTTACAGAAGACTATGAAAGACTCAACTCCAGTTAAGAACGAAGAACAAGCCATGACATCAACATTTTCTCTTCGACTACTATCTTTTGAAAGGGTCAAGTTTTTATGTCCTCTTGGCAGGTCACAGCATTGACTTTATTTTGTAAATCTGAGTTAGAAAAGTAATGGATTTTCGTTGTAACTGCCCTCTATAATTTATATAAAATGTTTATTTTCCTTTTCTGATAATTTACAGATTTACTTTTCTTTTGTTACATAAAATGTTGGCCACACATTTTAGTTATACAAAAGCCTGCCCTTAATAAGAAAAGGAATATTATTATGTATTTACATCCTGCCATATACTACGCTAATTCCTCTTGGCCTGGCCGCTGCATGATCCGTACTTTTGCGTGGATTACTGTCCTAGGTCCTACATAACTTTCTACATACACAACTACTCCAGAAGCAAACTTCACACTGTTTTGAGTCTTCTCCACCCTGTTTTTGCCTGGGTCTCCAATTGGAGCTGAGATCGACATAAGCGCCTGGGTGGAACTGATCTCTACTGCATTGCTTTTTTGCTTTTATTACTTAAAGTTATAGAAATTGAGGAGTTGAACTGAGACTACACAAGAAAACAATTAAAATTAGCCGGAACCCTGCTGATACTTCTGTTATAAAATTTGTTTGCACTGAAATACATTATCATCTTTAAGGTTATTGAGTGATGAATGCATTTCACACATTTTGTATTTTCTAGGTAGAATCCAGACTTAGTCAGCATCATTAAATACCTCTCTGGTTTTCTTGGCTCACTTACCTGCATAATGGAGTATATTCTTTGCAAGATAATTCTTTCAGTAATGGTCTTTGAACAGTAGAGACTTACCTTTGTGTGTCTGAAAAAGCCTATTTCATTCTTGAAGAAAAATTTAGTAGGCCATAGCATTCTAGGCTCAGAGTTTCCTCCCTACTCCCATCACTTTGAAGATTTTTAAAAAACTATATTTTTATTGGTTTCAGAGAGGAAGGGAGAGGGAGAGAGAGAAACATCAACGATGAGAGAGAATCATTGATAGGCTGCCTCCTGCATGCCCCCAACTGGGGATCGAGCCCACAACCCAGGCATGTGCCCTTGACTGGATTCGAACCCAGGACCCTTCAGTCCACAGGCCAATGCTCTGTTCACTGAGCCAAACCAGCCAGGGCTCTTCTAAGATTTTTAACTCATTGTCTTGTCATCTAATAATGACAAGTCTGCTACTGGTGTAATTTCCTTTGTAGATAATCTGTATTTCTCTCCAGGAACTTTTCCATGACTTTTTATCTTCAAGGTTATTCATGTTGACTTGTTAAATTGTAGATTTGTTTTTATTTTTCTTGCTTAGTATTTGGTATGCACTTTCAATCTGTGGGCTCATGTCTTCAGTTTTGGAAGATTCTTAAATGTGGTTGCATATTGGAATATGGGAACCTATAAAAATATGCTGATGCCTGGCTCCAGTCCCCAGAGACTAATATAATTGGTCTGGAGTGTGCCCTAAGCATTAGGAGTTTCTAAAGTTCCCCAGGTGATTCTAATGTGCAGCCCAGGTTGCTGATCACTGGTGTAATGCATATAAGATAAGAAGGAGGGTGAGAGAGAGGAGATAAGTGGTGACTTTGGAAATGAAGAGTGATGGACACATTGAGTTAAATTTTGGATTAAATCATCTGAACTTGGTGACTGGAGTGTAAAGGTTAAGGAAGAAGAAGTATTAAAGATAACTTACTTTTTCTTTCTTGGGAAAGTAAGTGGATGGTATTTCTATAAGCCAAAAGAAGTATGCAGACAAGTAGGTGAATGGGTAAAGATAATGAGTTGGATGTGTATTGAAGTTGAGATATGGAAGGTACAGCTGGGAAAGATGAGTCATAAAGAGTGGGGTATTTGAGTCAGGGTTATTGGATATGAATTAGGGAATCATCAGCACGTGGCAGTAATAAATGAAGCTGTGGGAATGGAGTGGATGAGATTACCCAGGGAGCATGTTACAGTGAAAAGAGGAGATCTGAGGCATATTGGTGTGTTGGCAGTGGAACCAGTGAAGGAAATAAAGGGGGTGTGGTCAGAAGGAGGAGGGAAAACAGAAGAGTGGTATGGATGAAGCCAAGACAGGAAGGCGTTTCAAGCAAAGCCCAACTGGTGGTATGAAGTGCAGGTAGAAGGAATAATGAACCGTAGAGAACGGAGGTGCTATCTTATGTTGAAAAATGCCTTTTCTAACCTATTTTATCTTAACATTTAATGTATTTTCATTGTATACACATAGCTTACAAATATATTTCAGAAAAGCCTGATCATATAGTGAGACATTTATTGCAAGTGACAGGAACTGGAGGCAGCTAGAGATCTTGAAAGAATGGTGGAAATTTGGACAACATCTATGAAGAATGGACACAGGAAATGACTAGAGATGAAGAATTGTTAGACAGTTTTGAGGCCATGGAGGACCCAGGTGAAATTAGAGATGAGATCAATTTGGAGCCAATTGACAAGGTTGTGCCATCTAAGTGGGCTCAGTAGCCCAGGAATTTAGGCCAGTTGTGATGAAGTAAATTAATTTTAGTTGGGGATTCACTGGCAGACATGGGACAAGGCTAAGAGAAAAATTAATGGTGGATTCACTGAAAGATCAAGAGATTTATCATGGGGTCCAGGCAAATCGGAGAAGGACGTTGAATCAGCAGAGCTGACCTGATGGCACAAAAAAATAGGGTGAGGTAAATGGAGGGCAAGTCTTAAGGAGGTTAAAACCCTCTTTAATGGGAAGGGTGATGAGTTTGGAGCTTGTAGTCAGAGAGGAATTCAGTGCAACATTTCCAGATCTTGAAGTCCAGGGTGTGATCTTAACAACCATGTTTACATAGTTCACTGAAGTGGGTGGAGATGAACAGCAGTGGAGTAGAGAGCCAGGGCCTGGGTGACTGTTAATACTAGTGTCAGTGTTTCTTGGAATGACTCAGGTCAGGTGGAAAGGAAGGGCTCATCTGTAGTCTCATGACCTGTAAGTGGAACACCCAGGTGCCCTGATTGTACAGGCAGACCTTGGAGATAGTGGGGGTTCGGTTCCCGACCACCACAAGGAAGCCAGTATCACAAAGTGCATCACGTGAATATTTTTTGTTTCTCAGTGCATATAAAAGTTATGTTTACACTATCCTGTAGTTACTAAGTGTGCAATAGCATTATGTCTGAAAAAACAATGTAAATGCCTTAATTAAAAGATACTTATTGCTTAAAAAATGTTACCCATCATCTGAACCATCAGCAAGTCATAATCTTTTTGCTGGTGGAAGGTGCTGCCTCAGTATGGATGAAAATGCAATATCTGTGAAGCGCCATAAAGTGAGGCACAATCTAACGAGGTTGCCTGCATTGAGATTTTAATAAGGGTCTTTTTTACTTCCTTTTATTTATTTATGTTTAGTCTTTTTTCACTGTGCTAGGTGTTCTGAAATTTCACCACAGAATGTTTAGGAGTGGGTCTTTTTCTATTAATTCTGTTCAGTTAGACATCATCTCTTTAATTCTGAGTAATTTTTTTATTCCTTTGTTTACTTTCTCTATTTTTTGTTTTTGTTTTTGTTAATCCTCACCCGAGGATAGTTTTCCATTGATTTTTTTAGGGAGAGTGGAAGAGAGGGAAAGACAGAGACATCCATGTGAGAAAAACACATTGATTGGTTGCCTCCTACACGAGCCCTGACCAGGGCCTGGGCTGGAGAGGAGCCTGCTACCGAGGTACGTGCCCTTGACCAGAATCAAACCCGGGACCTTTTGGTCTACAGGCCGATGCTCTATCCACTGGCCCAAACTGGCTAGGACTAAAATGTCTTTATTTATTAGTGAGAGATTTTTGACCTTTTGCTTCTGTTTTCTGTGTATCCCACACTTTTTCTCTGCTGTGGGACTGTCTGGAAG